TGAGANCAGTTTGCTGCGGATTGAAGTTCATGTGCTGACTGATAAAAGTGAAGGTATTTTCTGATTCAGTTTAAAGAGACGATAATGTTGATATCTGGCGCCACCTAGTGTCAGAAGTTCATTACTGTTCCTGGTGTCAGTCTGAAGTATTGTGATACTAACTAAAGACAGACTGTCTTCTAATGTGTGTGTGTGTGTGTGTGTGTGTGTGTGTGTGTGTGTGTCTTGCCAAGCCGCTTCACACACAGGGCTCATGGCTGTCATAACCCATCCAGTGATGCTGGCAGGGGAATAACCGCTGCAGTGTTGTGCCGGAGCCAGACATGACAGAAAGAACAACAACCTACAACTTTGCTAAGACATCAGCATGTCCTCACACATGCTTTATGAAAACAGTTCCCCTTCCCCTCTGGTCAAGAAGTTCTTAGCTTTTTTTTTTTCTTCGGAAGAGGGAATGTAACAGCTTCTAACAGACAACTTTGAAGTGCTTGACAGGCTCATCCCCATCAGCACACACGCATACACACCTGGGCACACTTTTGACATGAGAGTTGCATGTGCAGAATAAGAAGATGGAATTTCTAACAGTCAACATTTAACAATTTAGACAGAATAAATAATAATACATAGCATTTTTTATTTGTTTTAAACAACAGATATACATACATTTTTTTAGTTTTACTCTTTGTAAAAACCACTTGATCCACACAATCTTAACAATTAAAGGGAATAATTAATAGCCTTATATAGTATTTTCAATATGTTTTTACCATTAGGTATAGGGAGCAAATAAAGCCATAAACGCCTCATACCTGCATGCTCTTGAGCTTGTGATCCGTCGGGCTGTATCTCTCACATTCTTCCATCCCTTTTCGGAGGAAGGCGTTCACTACAAAACTGTCTCCTGAGACATGAAGAAAACACACCGATTAGCAGGTAAACATCTCAAGCTTAACCTATTTTATAAGATTATCATAATTAATAAACAATCATTATACAAAATAACCAGTTTATCCTCACCTTCAGGGTTTTCTCTGCGCTTGCACGCTTCAGTTCATCAGAGACAGGGATGTGAAAAAGACATTTGTTAGTCTTTGTAAGGATAGGAATATTTTTAAAATACTGTCAATAAGTGCGGAAAAACTTGAACATTTCTTACCATGTTTTGACTGAAGTTTCCCCATTCTTAAGTCCCTCTTCCCTAGATCAATGAACGTACTCCGATATGGCAGAAGGTGAACACAGTCACTGCTTCAGCATGGTCACATTGTGTTTATTCTGCGAGAAGGAAACTCCAACTTCATCCATAGGCAGGTAATTTAGTCGCTTGTTCATTGAAGTATCACTTGAAAATATATAAATGTTTAAAAAATATCTGTGCAGGAGACAGGGCACTCGATGTCTGCCTCCAGACTTCCCTTCAGTCCGACTGAATGCAGAAGCGCTTTGAACACAGCTCACATCCCGGAGCATCAAGGCAGACAGCAGGTAGGGCACTTCCGGTTAGTGTTTCTACAAAATAAAATATCAACATGCCAACATTTTAACAAGTGATAAAACATTCACGCGAAAAGGAGAAAATGATCAACTAATTACTGAATAAAAAAGGGAATTCGTTATCCAAATTAAATTGTTGACATTATCAGACACATTTTCATTTGATCACAAATCTACTAAAACCGATAGACGGATTTTGTATCAAATTATTTTTATTTCATGACCGGTAGCAGCAAAAACAAAATGTATTGTTTATTAATAATTGAATAGCCTAATTATAAGAGTATCAACACTTATAACAAAAACCTTAACCCTTTTTAGCATATGCCCAGGTTAAAAATTGTATATGATATTCCAGACAGAAAAAGACATGAGTAGGCTACACTTATTGAATTGTATCTTAATTAAAGGTTGAAATGCTGCCTTTTTTCTTTTAAAACAGTATTAAAGTAAACAACGACAACACGGTTTACACCCAGCAAATCCTTACATTTGACAAGTTATCCATTATTTTGAAAAGCGAATGGATTCATTTCCGGTTGTAGGTCTTGTTTAGCTTGTCGCACTTTCGCCTGGTTTGGCAGCTCGTGTGGCGTTGAATGTCAAACCGCGTCCTCTGTTGGTGTGATTTTCCGAACAGCTCCATTCATGGTTTTCAAAGTGGACCAATATTTATGACTAGGACACTTTCCTTTAAATAAATAATTCGTTTTCCGTTATTCAATGTCAAATTCGGCCTGGTAGTAACACAGGTCAATTAAATGGGTAAAGCTGTACACTAGTAAGTTGTGAAATAACAGCTAATTATCCACAAAGTGCTGTGATGTACACTAATATTACAGCAAAATAATTTATGTTGGATCACTTCAAACTATTTCGTTTTGTAAAACAACAGAGGCTTTTTTGGTGTGCAATTATTAACATTATTAGTAAGTTGTTATAGTACAAGTCTGTGTGTTATTCAAACACCATTTCGATCCACATTAAACTTGCCATTATTTGCTTTGGTTGTGTGTGCAACGGATGCTTAAGATAACATGTTGTTTATTAAAGAAAAACAGGAAGAACATGTTGTACCAGACATCAAAAGCTTTTTAGCAGTTTAATAGTTGTTCCCTTTGGCAGGGCGTTAAAACTGGGCCTGGCCGCAGGACACATGCCAAGAGTTATGTATTTCCATTCACTAAGGCACACTTTGGCTCAGTATGAAGACACAACTGTCATCTTAGTGTTTTGTAAATATTCCACTCCTGTGCCGCTGATTAAACTCAACATAAGGAGATATGCTATGCTGATCTTTGCATGTGATCAAGGCATAAACTGTTAGTACACGCCTGGTGTCTCACTCGCTCACTGCTCAAAAGGGCTGCTGTCAAACAAAAAATGACAGCCCATTCCTTAAATCTTATCCTTTACCTAAACAGAGCAGCTGGAGGAACATCAGACCCATGCTTTCTCTATGCTGCTGCAGAACATCTTATTACCAGCATACCGTGATGAATGGTGAGTGCAACTATATATTGCTCTTCCTGTCAATTTGTCTGCCATTTGACTTCTTCACAGACTGCTCAGTGGCTGACAGGATGAGCCGACATTTGCATAGCTCATTGATGGCAGCTTCTTTGATCCTACTTGCCTTGCCTAATTATCACCATTTCTTTATGCAGCCTGGCTCCCAGGATTCTGCGTCTGTACAAGGTATCTCTCCTTTATCCTTATCCTGTCTAGCGCTCTCTCTAACATCCAACTTAAATAGATGACATACATATGGGATATAAAAAAATCTGAAGCATACTGTTCGTGCCGTTTCTGACAGGATTGCCGGAAACAGACAGAGGATGTCTTTAAAGAGCAATGATAAAAGTCCTGGTTTTTCATCAAAGGCTGTCATGCAGATGAAGAATTGAAAAGCCCTGACATGGCTTGACTTTTATGTGCTCTTAGTGCTTCTTTGCACAATAGATGTGGATCATTATTCTGCCAAAAGTGCAGTGTTTTACGTCAATCAACCTCTTTAATCTATCATTTTTTACTCAGAGAAATGAGTGATAGTTTCCACAATTTAGTGTGCAGCTCTGTTCAGTTTCCCCCTAACATGCCTATAAGTTAATTCCCTCCCTATGTGAATCACCATTGGCACATGCAGCGATATTCCATTGCTTTCAGCCATGTACCTTGTTGAGAGGATAAACATCTGACTGTTTGTTATGTTTGGAGTTTTCTGATATTTTCAAACTGCTTGCAACAGTGATAAAACCCTGTAACAATAAGGCTTATGACTTTTCATCCTTCTGCGTCTTGATTGCCTTTCAACAGCTGCCTGGTTTTGGAGTAACTACAGTCAAAAGAGAAAAAGGCCTCCAGACAGAGCGATTATGGTTTTATTTACAATGCCCGTTCTAACAGCTCTCTTTCTTTATTTTTCCTCTGCCCTTTGTGATCATTGACCTGATTAGAAGAACGGGGAGCTCTTTCATGCGATTCACCTCACATAAAAACTTAATTGACATAAAATCAGTGGGCACTTAATTAAATATAAAAGATACACTGGAATTAAAAAGGGATAATTCACAGAAGCAACAATACGCTTCCTTAATGAAAGGACCGCTTTCAGGGGAAATCCATTCTGGGATTCTTGTAAAACCTAATACTTGTGAATCCTTTAAAAAGGTCTTGATTACAGTATCAATCTTTTTGCTTGATCTTAACGCCAGCAGTATAATCAAATCCATAAAAGTCTCACGTGAAATATACTCAATGGAACAGCCAAGAAAGGTCATTTAAAGTGTGATGGCGATAAGATTGAGTTTAAATGAAGTGTGTGAAAAGAGATGAACTGCTTGCTTTCCTTTTACATCGTGGAACAGCCTGCAGAATGCACCTTTGAAGTGGAGTGAAAAAGCTGTTGCTCAACAACAAACAAAGGGCACATTGTCTGAACCCGGCAGCTGACATGCAAAGCGGCAGAGCATTCACAGAATGCAAAACATGTTCATACGAACAATGGAGCCACTGATCTGTTCATGTAAACTGCGCATTTGGCCGATACATTTTATAAATGAATCCTCTTTCAACAGTTTTGTTTTAAGGGCAGATTGGTGGCAACCACGCGCAAACAGTCAGTCGGACAGTATACGCATATTTCCCTTTGAGTCTCATAACGGAGGACTACTGTGTAGCTGCACATTGCACTCTTAGTAAAACCTGGAGCAGCTTTTTTACTATTAGATCTGCATTTGTGTGGGTTAATTGTTTTCATTCATTACAATTATTTAGATAACCCACATGAGACATGCTCAAGGTCATCTGCAATCTGGGGTCAATGCTATGGGCATTTTCATTTTCCTCTCCCGATATCACATATTTTCAAAAAACCCGCAATAATTAGTCTATTTAAAACTGTTCAATGGCATATCTGCGCCACCAAGTGGTGGCCGCAAAACCTCCATAATGCATCTGCATATCAAAAACCAACATGAAAATAATGGATATTGTTTATTACAAAGTTATATACAAAATAAAGTCGTAATGAACACATTAATCCAGAGAGTTTAAAGAGGACTGTTGTTAACATGAATATAGAACTGACAAACATAACTTAACATTTGTAAGTGATGGTCTATGAGGAACATCCCTTTCTAAAACACATGTTTAAGGGAAAGTTCACATTTCTCAACATGAGTCGGTATCTTGCATGAACATTAGCCTTTTCTACAGATTCTGTGGATGGAGTTGGATCAGTGGGATAGCAACTTTTAAATGAACACCAGAAAAGGGAATTTAAAAAAAAAGTTCCCACATCTCAATGAGATATCTTCAAAACAATCCATGAAAGGAGCTAATGTGTTTTACAAAAGGTAACGTATGCCAATTATAGATGTGAACTATCCCTTTAACAAAAGGAACCGACAAAAAATGGTGGCACTGTTAAGCTAAATATAAAAATACATAAAAATATCAGAAAACACACAAAGCATTTGGCACTCCATCTTAACCCAAACTGCAAATACTGAAAACCAACTTCGCAGCAGCACCAACAGAATCACCTGAACAAACATTTATGTTAGAGATAGTATTTGTTAAAAAATATGTAAAGGTCGTAATTTCCAAAACCTTGAGTTCATTGTAATTTTGTTGAGGAGGGCTCATGAACCACCGTGTGTCAGCCTTTGGGCTTTGTAAAAGTTCAGATACCGTTCACCAGATGAGCTTTTTCCTCCCTCTGTTTCTCCACTGTTTGGTGCATAGCCTCCATAAAACTCTCAAGGGTTGCTGTTGGTGTCTGCAGGCAAACAAACTGCGTTAAGAAAACCAAACAACTCTTTTCTCGCTACACTCGGAAGAACAAAATCGAATTCTTACCTTTACGAACAGCGCGTGGGCTAGAAATGGTAACTTCCTGAGTGCTCTTCCACTCAAACCTTTGCTTTTTCTGGAAAGGAAAAGAAAAACAACATAAGCCTCAGGCTGTTTCAGTTCCCACCGGCACTCAGTGCTATACAAGAGCACGGAGATGGTGCAATTTGGGTTCTATTGCATTATGGGAGGTAGGGCTGTACCCGAATATCAGAATATCCGAATGTCCGTTCGTTGGAGTACTATTCAGGTTTCAATTTCGTTACTCGTTTTTTTATTTTCGTTTTTTTATTTATTTATTGAAAACACCAATATCAACGTCAGAGCTTGTGCCTCTTCGGGGGGGTGCCAACACTGCCAACGTTATCGTTTACTTTCTTAGTCTTTATATGTAGATATTACTTTTTCTCCGTTAATCTCCGTCACGTTGTTTCCATAGCAACAACAACTCCCTGTCAACAGCGCTAACTCTCCTTCAAAATAAGGAGCGGGCCGAATATTTGAATATTCGCTGCTGATTACTACCGAATATCCGGAGCCCCAAAAAATGGTATTCGGGACAGCCCTAATGGGAGGTCATACTCACTGAGCAATGCTCCTCAGGTTCAGGCTGTGCTCGGACACCTCACTCTTGGCGAAGCGCATCGTCTCCAGCTCAAACATGGTAAACAGCTGCTGCCGGGGGTAGATGATCTGGCACTGCACAAATCAGAATCAGAATACCTTTATTAGTCCCACAGAGGGGACATTTACATTGTTACAGCAGAAAAGGGCAAAGACAGCTTAATGTTACCTAAATCACACAGCATGAAGCAGACACAATTCATCAATCCAGCCCATTATATTTTAAGTATTGTCTTTGTTTTATGCTACTTAGAGCTGAAACGAATAGTCAATCAAGAACATATTGGTCAACTATTTCCATAAAAGTTTTTATTTTATTGGAATATGTAGATTTCATGCTTTTATATCCTAATAACGTAATTATTCAGGCTTTGGCCTAACAAAACTCGACATTTAAAAAAAGAAATGACTTTGTACTTTAAGAAACTAGAATGGCCATTTTTCACTATTCTCTGACATTATATAGACCAAATGTTAAAGGTGACCTATCATGCAAAATGCACTTTTGTACATCTTTTATACATGAATATGTGTCCCAGGTGTTCCAGGGAACTCAACAAGTGTCAGAAAACACAACCCTCTCTATTTTCCTCCATACCCAAATCTCTTAAAAAGGGGCTGCAACGGATCTGATACAGACTGATCCAGATTTGAACACTTCTATGACGTCACAGAAGTGGCGCTACGGCTATTGGGCCAACTCCACCAATCAGGAGGAGACAGCCACGGACATTGCCGTTCGAAAGCGCTGGAGACGCTGTAGTACATATCCCAGGCTTGTAGATGGTGCTGTTCTCACAGAATCAGCCCATGCAAAGACAGTGTTACATTGAGCGAAATGAGGAATGGCTAAAATGCATGATCTGTTTGGTGTTTGAAAAAAAAAAAAGTATAAATATGCCTTATATAGGTATGGTGAGCGCCCCCTAGTGGTCCATGAGTATATTAGTAACATTTCACATTTGAAATAAATAAATACATTTAAGTTTTCCGCATTCTCGCAGGAATATCTCCATAATGGAGCGAGCTTAAGTTTCACTTTCGATTGAATGATATAGCCCAGCGCAACACCTTCGTCACACATGTTGCCACCTGTTTGTACCATTTTCAGGCGATTTGTAATCTGTTCTAGAAAAACGATGTGTTTGTTAGGTGGTCCGCGAGTGTTTTTTTATTGGTTAAGTGGTCCTTGTTATGAAAAAGTTTGAGAAACACTGCGTATAGACCTACAACCATTGGGGGGATTTGGGGAGAGTCTTGTTTAAGTACACTCGACATATGGACAGAAAAAAATGGGGGTTGAACCAGTAACCCTTTCATCAGTGGACACAAAAAAGATGAATAATTGCAAATAACGACACAATGTTACTGAGTGTTGGGTCACCTTCATCAGCTCCTCCAGGCAGGAAAGGTAGATGTTGTAGATGCCCTTCTCTGATGGAGGTCCGATGTACTGCTTGATGTCAGCTCTGTCCACAAACGCCAAGTCTATCTTGTCCGTCACATTCGAGGTCGTCAGAATCACCACGTTGGGATGTCTAAAATATGAAACAAACAAACTTGTTTAAATGGGACTAATTCAAAGTATGACGGAAGGATTTCCCAGTGCAAACGATAAATAACAGTGATTATAAGAATGCAAAACTAACGGTGATTTGCTACCGTAATATCTCGTTTGGAATATGAGGAAATGAACTGCGGTCTGGCTCTCCCAGCTTGCACGCGGTTTGATTGGCTGCGCTTGCACTGGCGGGATTTGCATAAACGGGATTTGATTGGCTGATGCCAAGCATCGAGCCTCAAAAGTTGAACATTGTTCAACATTTGAACATTGAACATTGCTCAAAAGTTGAACATGCCGATAGATGCTCGTGATGCTTGCAAAGCCATGCCATGCTCCCCACAATGCAGTTCGGCGAAGATTCAAAATCTTTTACGTCACCCCATTGAAGTGAATGGGCGAAGCGTTGAAAGCATTTTTCGATGCCTGTAGTGTAGACGGGCCGTAAGGCTTATGGTCACAAGCTATAAGGGAGAGGTTCTAAAAGAGTACATAGACAATTTTACTTCCTCACCGTTTGATCTGGTCCAGCTGAGTGAGAACGGCGTTGACCACTCTAATGGCATCAGAGGGCTCTGTCCCCGCCTGGCAGGCACTCCTAGCTGCTGTCAGACTCTCCACCTACCCACCATGAACATTTTCCCACAAGAGCAGCCATGGTCACATCAACGGGAGATAATTAGGTATAGACAGCCATCTTGTTGATTTAAGTGAATCTGAAAAAAATCTATGAAGGAGTGTACATAATAATTGGATTTTAGGGGCTTAGATAATACAGATTCCAATAAAAGTATTTCATCTTTACCTCATCTATCAGAACAAACACAAGGGCGTCTTTGTCGTCAATCAGCTGTTGGATTTTTTGAAACATCTTTGTGACCAGCTTACCACTCTGTAACAAAAAAGCATGATAAAAATAACATCAATTAAATCTGGAACAATTGTTAATGAAACAAGGTAACATAAAAGGAGCCAGGTGTACCTCTGAGAACCACTTTGAGAACAAGCTGTGGCTGTTTATCTCCACAAATTGCCCATAAGAATACCTGCAGGGAGAGGAGTGTATTTTCAAATGAAAAGAGAAGGTGTAATTACTGCTGAAGCTGTAACACTAAAATTAGGATTGTCTTACCGACTCGACAGTCTGATTGACAGCTTCTGGGCGAGAGCTTTGCAGAGTGATGTTTTCCCTGTGCCTGGGGGGCCTGGACAAACAATGACAAACCACTTTTCACACACCCATTTCAGACACTTCAACCTCAATGGATAAAAAAGGTGATATCTTCTTTGTTATTTACCGTGAAGGAGCACTACACGGTTCCACGAAATCAGGTTGCTGTTGACATTTTTATCCGAGAAGTAAATTGTTGTTGTGACATAATCCAGGAGCTGAAGGAAAATATAAAAAATGAGAAGTTGAGGAGTGAAAAAGTTATGCAATCATGTTCTCACAACTGCCAATTCATGTATTTTACCTGGGTTTTTACTCCGCTCTCATATACCAGACTCTCCCATATCCCATGGAATTCAGCTGTGAAAATTAGATAGAGGAATTGAGGGGAACATTCAGCAGAGATTGAATTTAAATGAGACAAACATATTCATGTTCATAAGATGAATCCAAGCAAATCAAAAAAAATAAAGCCAACAGGGAGTGTCAATCAGTTTGCTTCAGTCTTTTTGTTCTGTCTTTATTTGTTGTCAGCACTTTGCCCATTAATTCAGCTGCATATTGCTGTAACATCCGCATGATCACCTTCTCACCTATAGGAGATGTGATTCATCCTTTTTGAAGTGTACATTAACTCATATAGAAATAACACATTGCATACCAAAATTATGACTTCCTGTTTTAGGTTATTGCTGGCTCTCCAACTTTTCAAACTAAGAAGGCAAGCCTTTTCCTCAAGATGTTTTCTATTCAACATGTTATCCTTCTCCATGTTTGGAAGTGTCACCTGCTGGCAGCAACCAGTGATTGGCTGCTGAAAGCTCCTCATCCTCCTCCAAACTGAGCGTGCTGGGTCCATCCTCATTCAGAGTGAAGATGTGAACGGAGACAGAGCAGCTCTTCAAATCCAGAGGCTAAGCAGGGGGAACAAATGGGGGGGGGGAAACAGCTTAACAACTGCTAATCATTATTACTATAATGAGAAACAAAATGATGGAATATAATCGCAAGTAACAGACCTGTGTGACCAGTTCCTCAACATCAACTATAGCCACAGACTCCACATGTTTCTGCAGGTAGTCCTCATCAAACTCTGTCCATCTGTAGTTTCCAAACACCATGCTGTGGCGATTCAGAAGAGCCAGAACATGAATCCTCACCTCGGACCGTTTAGCTGTGCTGAAATGCAAACAAGAAATGGAAAAACGCAATTACATTATTGGTTATCATTAGTATAACACAGTAAGTAAACATATGTATGGCAGAGATACCATTCAATACTAATATGAATATTGGTTTCTATACTTTTACAAAACTAGGGATGCTCCGATCGATCAGTATACTGCCAGACTCGTGAAGCCATTTTTGCAAGCTTGTTGTGGTGTCCGCAAATGACAATAAAATAGCGGTATGCAACGTGTGTGAAGCAGCAATCCTGCAGCTCCACCCGAGAGAGAGAGAGAGAGAGAGAGAGAGAGAGAGAGAGAGAGAGAGAGAGAGAGAGACAGTGTTATGTTGGTTGTTGTTTGTGGAAGCGCCACTGAATGAGCCCCATTATCGGGTTGTAAACATCACTTAAATGGAAGATCCCCATAGGCCCCGCCCACTCGATCGGATCGGCCGATACTGATTCCGGCGATCGGCCCCAAAATTGGCGAACGGAGCATCCCTATACAAAACATACTGTGTGTGTATTTGTTTTCCCACGGTAGTGTCTTTGGTTTCACACTTTTACGTTTTCAGTGACATGTTTAAACTACTTAGCCTGCCCACCTGTGAGATTTAACATGGACCTCCACATTGATGTCTTGTTTCTGGTTTCCCACCTCCATTCTGTCGCCGTCCATCTCTGCAAAGCTGCAGACAACAGAGCAACAATCATGACTTTATTGCAGCATTGTTTACTATTTGCTAAACGTTAACTAGGTAACTTAAGCGATAGTGAGCTTTAGCTAGCTAACTTAGGTGGCTAACGTTAACGTATCTCAAGTAGTAGCTGAAGCTTATCAGTCAGTCTACTACATTAACACAACTGTAAACATACCTCACACCATTTAAGACAAGACTGGGAATACTTGCATCCACCAAAGTTGTGGTACCCAAGAAACTACGGACGGTCCGCTGTCAGAAAGCCGACAACACTCGCTCAAATACCGCGCCGATTAGTTAAACCCGGAAGTGCTTCATTTAATTTCTGTATCACTTCCGCCGCTAGCTTTCTTGCTGCAGAGCTACAGTAAAGCTAGCTACTACTTGCAATATAATTGGAATAAAGTCAAATCTTCGGATATAAAACACGGAGAGATGGGGAAAAAACACAAGAAACATAAGCCGGAGTGGAGAACAGTTGATGGTACCTGAATACATATTCAAATAATAGTTACTGCTTTTGTTTTAGCTAGCTTTTCGTTAGCTAGCCTAGCTTACCTGGCTAGCTCAAGTGACATCAGATTTGCATTGTTTTTGTTATGAATGTCTGTTCTTATCAACCAACAGGGTGCACATCCCACACATCTCTGTTATGGTGTCCTGCTAAAAGTCCAAGTAAATCGGATAGTAATCAATATTGTTCGTGTTTGTTTATGTATAACGGGGGGAATCAAATATTTTCCTAAACAGGGGAACATTCATACATACATACATATACATTGTAATTACACTTGTTTTACATTGTAAGATACATTATAATGCAATACTTTAAAATATGTATTCTATAATATACAACCGTATACCTAATAATAATAATAAAGAGAATGGGAAGAAATTTGATTAATAGCCCATAGCCAGAGTTAACCAGAGTATTGCACAGTTAAATTATTATTGCAAAGAGAAAGGCAACATATTATTTTCATGTGAAGTCAGGGTTGTGTAGTTGTATTTATAAACATAGTATGCGGTTATAGCTGATGAAAACATTGTTGAGACAGTTGTATCTATCTCCTTTCTTTTGCATTGTGATTTTAAAATTGTAATTAATAATTGCAACACAAACAGTTGAGCAAAAGCAGAAGAGTCATCTTCTACACTACACTAAAACAACACAGTAAAATTCCATCAAACCCAATCATTCAACATACAGTGGAAGGTTTTCTACAAAAGTTTATTATAGCTACTTCTTTTACAATACACAACATATTTAGCGTTTAAAGTAATAGCAGAGAAAACTTGCAAGATTCCTATCATATTAATAAACATTATACTTAATGTTCACGTACTCCTTCCACAACTTTTCACCTTGCATCATGAATTGTTATCTCTACTCTTGCCTTCAATGTTGTTTATTTTGGCTTTAGACTGTGAAGACAAGGCTCTTGAGAAGCCCCTGAAGCTTGTGCTCAAAGTTGGAGGAAGTGAGGTGACGGAGCTCTCTGGTTCGGGCCATGACTCCAGCTACTACGATGACAGATCAGACCATGACCGGGAACGGCACAAAGACAAAAAGAAGAAGAAGAAGAAAAAATCTGAAAAGGATAAAGACAAATATGCCGATGATGATGAGAGAAGACGACGGAAGGTTCGTTTACAAAAGAACATTATACCATTTGCATCTGTGTTTGGTGCCTTTGTAAGTTAAAAACTGGTTTTGATCCTATACCAAAGGAGGAAAAGAGGAAGAAGAGAGAGCGAGAGCAGAACGAATCAGATGCTGCAGCTTCTACTGCCCCCAGCAACGTCGGCGTGGCTGTTGAACCCTTCACATTGCCAAAAAGTAGCATAAGCATAAGTATTGGACTAGAGGTGAGTAAAATAACGTAGCCCGCTAAATATACCCAAAAGCTTCTTAATGATTCCCTCCCTCACAACATGACTGTATCTCATTAGCCAGAGGAGAAGAAAAAGAAGAAAGAGCGAGAGAGAGATAGAGAGTTTGAGCTAGAGGACGAAATGGATGAGTTTGACCCCGATGGGAAGATGGAAGGAGATCCGCTGGGAGACAGGCCGGTCCGAGCATGCAGGACACAACAAGGTGAGAATGCCTACCTCTCTATCGGAACAATATCTAAAAGATTTGAGAAGCAAACGTTACTTCTCCTTTTGGCGATTATTTAATTGTAGATGTGTTCGTAAATACCTGAATTTCCATATGTTTTCCAAATGCAGAGAGTGAATCCACTCCTCGTCAACAACTGCTGGAGCACTTTCTGAGGCAGCTGCAGAGGTGAGATACACTGATTTCACTCTAATTGCAGCATCCACATGTATTGTCAACATTCTGTCCTTCATCCTCATTGCTGCTTCTCAAGAGCTATAACTAGAGACCATTGTTCAATATTTTAAAGATCCAGAAGCATACAGACTAAGGGTTAAGGGCAAGGCAGAATGATACATGTTCCTTAAGCTTCATATGGATTTTTTTGTTTTTAAACCATCTAGCACAAACATATCATACATCTATTTGCATATTACACTGGTAATGAATGAGCCCAATCATACTGCCCGAAACGTGAAACCAAATGTCAACTTTGTATATTTAGAATGTCAAATTTACAAATGTACATTAAATGTCCTGAAAGCAGATTCAAATGACTTTCCTCTAACCCCAGTAAGAATCTAAGAAGAGCAAAGTTTGCATGTTGTGGTTTTTGCAACACCTACATACAAAATATTGTTGGGGGAAATAAACATTGCTGCATTTACAGGTAGTATATTTTGCCTAGATTCTATTTCTGTATTTATAATCTGGAGGGTAGTGTCAGTCATGTTTTGATAGAAACGTTGTGTGTGACTTCTGGAGTGGAGTGCACCAGCTGGGCGTAAGCTGGGCGTAACTCTACGTCCGACGTAGAACCGAAGGTTAAGACCAAACTAAAGTTATGACTAGTGCACCACTTAGACTTATGCCCTGTATGCGTTGCGCCCGGGTGTAACTTTTACGCCTAGTATGGAGCAGGCGTAAATCGGAAAGAGAGACTAGTATCCATAGTAACGTAAAACAGGCAAGAAGGAAAATAACTATGGCAGTGCGTCTTGTTTACATGTTGTAACAACGAAAGGGCTTTAAGACGAGAGAGTAATTTTTCTCTTCTTTTGGTTTCTGTTATCCATGACTTCGTTATCCAAATCTTAGTTTGCTCTGAATGGAGGAGTTCGAGTTTTAAATTATGTAGACGTGTGTTGCTTGGCAACAATTACTGTTTTGCGTGTATTCACGTGGACGCGCATCTTAAGACCAGGCGCAGCTACGACCTAGACTGGTCAGGCTTGGTGCACTCGGTGTAAATTCAAATCACTAAGTTGGACGTAGGTAAGCCCAACGTTCGAGTTAAGACCTACTTTTTTACGCCCAGCTGGTGGACTCCACTCCTGATGTTTAAGCCAGATGTTGTTATCAACACTAGGACAACGTCAGAGCAAACGTTAAGTCCACAGTACAATCTGGTCTGGTTCTTCGAATCACAACACAGCAAGATCCATTTATATTGATCGTATTGACCTGAAAGATAACGTGCGCTATTATGATCCCAAAACTTGCGCTCAAGTCTGAACAAATCTTAAGCTTGGTGCTGTATTTAATAATGTTATGCACTACTTTCAGGAAAGACCCCCATGGATTCTTCTCATTTCCAGTAACAGATGCAATCGCTCCCGGTTACTCAATGATCATCAAACATCCTATGGACTTCAGCACCATGAAGGACAAGATTATGAACAACGATTACAACACAGTTACCGAATTTAAGGTGAGGAGGGTTTTCAACACAAGGAGAAAGTTGGGATGTTGAATATGTATTATACTGCGTAAGAAAGTGCCAGCAAAACAAGTTTGTCTTAATACCTGTTCGAACAATTATTTGCCTTCAGGGGGACTTCAAACTGATGTGTGACAACGCCATGGTGTACAATCGACCAGAGACCGTCTATTACAAGGCTGCCAAGAAGCTGCTCCACACAGGATTCAAGATGATGAGCAAGGTAATGTGGTCAAAGGGACGATGAAACCAGCTTAGTCCATGTTAGCTGTCTTGTTTACTGGCTTAATTGAAAAGTAATTTACCTGTTTTGGTACTTCACTTCCTTTTCAAGTATTTTTTTACAAGAAATGTATCACTACATATCTGCCTTAAAATATATTTCCATAAATTGTACATTTTAGTTTAATATTTGAATTTGAATACATTTGAAATGTACGTCAGGCAGACAGACAGCAGTAATAATGTCACCTGGAGTGTAAGCGTGGCACTGCTCCATTTACAGTGTATGATGGCATGTATTCAAAGTATTATGACATTTTCCACTGCCCAGCAGCAGAGCATAATCAGCCCTACACATACACAAAACTCAAGTCTTGATGATACGATCTTATTGGAATGTCAACAATATTATTTGAGGGCCCTTTAAAAACTCACTCTAATCATCAAAACCATCCCCACATCCATACATTATCCATACATTTACAGTAAAGCAGTCACAATAAGTGCGGCCCTATTATCCTCTGCCCTTTGTACAGGAGCGGCTTCTGGCTCTGAAACGCAGCATGTCCTTTATGCAGGAAATGGACTACACCCAGCAGGCAGCCATTTTGGGAGATGAAGATCTTGAGGATGATTTACCTCTTCCAGAGATAATCCCCAGCCCAGTGGAATCAGCTAAGAAGTCCAAGAAACAACCAGTCAAGGACATGAAGGAAGTCAGGTAATCTAGATTAAATGTGACTTTTGTGCACATTTATGAAATAATATAATAAATGTAGTCAAAAAGAGCATGGAGGAAAGTCCTGCTTATTTGATGTGCCTCTGATTTAACACCCTGTCAGTGTAATATTGCTGTAACGCTGTTATTTGTGTCGTTCCAGTTACCTGTTTGAACCAGAGGGGAACGCTTGCAGCTTGACTGACAGTACAGCAGAAGAGCACGTCCTGGCACTCGTTGAGCATTCAGCTGATGAAGCTCGGGATCGGCTCAACAGATACATGCCCAACTCCAAGGTTTTCCTTTTAATGTGTCTACTGTTTCTATGTATACATACCATTTCTAGCTATATTTTATGAGAATAACTGACAAATTGGTGGTTAGGATTTGCATTATATTGCACACGAATGAGAATAAAAAAATAAAACAATAAAGATATAAATATCAGCAGTAGACGACAAACAAAATACGCAGAACATTGAATATATATTTCAAGCTTCTTATGTTTTTATTGACAAATGATCTTCTGTGTTTTCAGATGGGCTATCTGCGTAAAGAAGCAGACAGTTCTCTTCTTTATACGGTTGTAAATCAGCTTGAACCTGAGGTAGAAGGTTTGTCATCATTGTGATCATTTATCTTTTATACAGATTTCAAAGCCCTATGTTCACACATGATTGGAGCGACATTAGTATGATTATCCTTTTTTTCTTGCAGAAGTGGACACTCATAAAGTGGACCTGAGCTCTTTGTCAAATAAGCTTCTGCCGGGATTAACAACTTTGGGTTTCAAAGATGACAGGAGACACAAAGGTATGGCAACCGGCTCTAATTACCATTATTCAAACCAAATTAATAACATTTGCTAGAAATTGCAACAAAGTCTATGACCTATAACAGATGTTGCATTTCTCTTGTTCTGTATAGTGACTTTTCTGAGCAGTGCCTACAACGTCCAGACCCTTCAGAATAACTCCATCTATCCAGACCTGCAACCTGATGAGGTGGACATGCTTTATTCAGCCTATGGCGATGACACAGGAGTACAATGTGCTCTCAGGTAAGGGATTTTTCTATCATAGGTTACACTTAAATTGAAAATAATGTGTCCCCATTCTTTGCTTTCCAGTTCTCAACATGTTCACTTTCTCCCTCAGCATACAGGAGTTTGTCAAGGGCTGCAGCGGTGTCACAAAGCATTGGGTCGACACGCTTCTGGACAAGATGACTGCAGACGATCACACTAAAGCTGTCAATCAAATCCGACAGGTATCTAACTTTATACTTGATGTGCAGAATTACTTTGCTGCCAGTCTCCAGGGTATTCTTGACCAATTATAGCACACTCTGCTCTCTGGCCTATCATGTGTTTGATGCTCATTTTACATTTCAGAAACGAAATATCATGCTTAAACCCGATGAAACCAAATCCAACATCTGTGACATGCAGGTATGCTGTAGTTTATAAAACAGTGATGGTGAATTCAAATCTTTGCCTGTATTTGTCTGACTGAAGCTGTGTATTTCTGTCCAGATGGCAGACGGCAGCGGCCTGGGAGACAGTGGCTCAGTCCTGGACTTCATGTCAATGAAGAACTACCCAGATATGTCTCTGGATATATCCATGCTGAACTCATTAGGTGATTTTCCCCATCAACACTGTCAGTGGCTACATTAACATGTACTCCAATAATCCATTTACCTCATTAAGAAATGGAAATGAGAAGGTGAAGATTATGGAAGTGCATAACTTGCGTTAATGGGATAATGTTTATTTAACAAGAGAATGTGTGGAGCTGAATATTCACAATAATCGTCCTATGAGATTTTACTACATTATGAAACACACACTGAATTCAAACTTCTTGATTGCTACTTGCCTTGCAGACTTGTTAGATATAATCCTCTACTCCTCTTTTTCTGCTATATATGCTGGTGGCATTTTTTATTCAAATGATCTTGCCTTTTTTCCATCAGGTAAAACAGTTAAAAAGGAGCCGTGTAACGAGGATGGCCAGCAGCAATTTGATGAAGCAGACAAACTCCTGCAAGAGTTCCAGGACGCTCAGGTGGACAGAGTCGGCTCCAGACCATCGTCCAACCTGTCCTCCCTCTCTAATGCCTCAGAGAGGGACCAGCATCATCTAGGTATCTGCCATAGGACAAAACTAGGATCCCTGCTATTGCCTTTTTTAGCTACAATTTTAAAATCACATTAGTGTCCTTAGTATGATAATGTTCCGTAATTCTGTGTTGCTCAGTTTCTGGGTAAATATCAACTAGTTACACCAGTGCCACAACATTAGAGCCATATTTTCTCTCTCCACAGGGAGCCCATCACACCTGGGCGTTGGGGACCAGTCTGAAATGGTTCCAGACCCCTACGAGTTTCTGCAATCTCCGGAGCCAGAGAGCACATCTAACAGCTGACCACACACACTGCCATTTTGTTATCCTGGTGTTAACAGCACTGGGTACTCAGTCTTGGACTGATTTAAACACTGCGGAAACTGCAGGAGCCTCTGACCTTTTTAAAGACTAAATATGATTGTACAGGATGTTTGTAGTGTCATTGTATGTTTTTGTATTTGTGAAACAACTGAAAAATAAAATCTTGCACCTGTATTTATAAATGCGTGTGGTTAAATAAGCCAAATAGAAACTGTTATCAGCTGTATTATGCAACAAATATGCTGTGGGAACTGTCAACATGTATAAAACTCGTCGGAATATAGTGCAATTGCAGTTAGAGGATGTTGTAAGATTATACGGCCAAGTAAACTTCTGTGTTTTAACTGAGCAAAATTTGCTTTTTTCCACTACTGATACACAAAAGGGAAGTAATATGTTCAGCATATTGTTACATGAGAGGTTTAAGATTTAAAAATGGGTCTTATAAAAGCAAAAGTGTTGTGCAACTCTATGATAGCATTTCCCTTATGCTATCATGGTAACCACTGGCTATTCTTGAGGGTTTTATATTCTCAAGGGGTTAAAAGTATGTAAAAGGACAGCAAATACGGTTAGTTTGACAAACAGTAGCCTATACATGCGCAGTTATCGACTCAGTGAAGGGCCACAATAAAAAGGAGCTGTGTGTCTTTAGGAGAGCTGTATTGCACATGCGCAGTAGGACGGTTTCCATAGCGCCGCTCCGACCTGCTGAGTGAGTTGATTCTTCAACTTCTGATTCAGGTCCCTCGGTGACACAAACCCGAGGACGTCGGGTTATTTGATCCTTTTTACGCTTTTAATTGTTTCGGTTTATTTCTTGGCCTTTTATCTCATTATGTGAATTGTACCTTTTGAAGCACCTGCTCGGCGGATACTCTAATTATGGGATATCAGACGGTGGAAATCTCCGTCAGCATCTGAATAGGAATATTTGTTTTTTTATCTCATTGTCGCTTTCTTTCAACGGCAAAAGTAAGTATTGTTTTCATGGATTAAAGCTTCACACATTACTATTGTCCTTAACGTTAGGGTATTTTCGGAGTTACTTTGTGGTCCCTATTGAGCCGTTGAAATTATTTGAATTGTAAATTAAACACAAAACGCTGGGTGAGCTAAAGAAGACAACCAACATAAGCCAGCAAAACGGAGGCAACAAAACCAATGGGCCTGAAGACAAGACTTACAAGTTGATGGGTTGACTTAAACCATTGTTGCTACTGTAGATGTTTTTTAGGCTATTTGATGGAGTTGTATCATAGCATTGTGTCAGGCTACAAGCCAGAAGCAAATCATGTGATTCCAAGGCCATTTTAAGGAAATGCATGTAGTAGGCTACTTTGTGTCACTGTTTTACAATTGATCAGCTGTTTTTCTGTAGGCAATATGTGACAATATGCTCCTTGTTATATATATACGCACTGATGCTGTCCATTTGTTAGAATGGATAAAGCACAATTATTGTACTGCCTCTGTCACACAAAACACAGCAATGTCAGTTTATGAGGTAGACTATTGTAAAAGTAATGAAATGTAAAACAACAGCTTTGCAATGACTCATACCCTCAACATTTACAGTCTGAGTTTTTGTTAATTTCAGTTTAGAAAGCTGTAGTTTTGTTGTTGTTTGTATATTATCATTTTGTCTCTGAATTATTTATTTTAATAAAATATTTTAAGGCTGTTGTATTAGTTGCCAGTCTATTAGCTACACTAGTCTGAGTGTTGTACCATAATGGCTGAACAGTCACGATCATCATGCTCAACTCATTTTCCTAACTCATTTCTCCAGCAAATACACACGCACTCTGCTGGAGCTGGACTTGTAGTGTTTGTAATGTGTGGACGGAGGTTTGAAGGTGCTTGGAGGAAGCTTTTTGTAATCTGACTGTTTATTCTCCAGATGAACTGCTTCAACAAAAAGCTGAGACGCACATCTCCCATACATGGCAGCAGTAAAAATGAACTCGTCCCCTCAAAACTTCCCAGGATGAACGGATGGTCTTGGCCCCCTCAGGCTTTCCAAGTAGTCGGCTGGCTGGTGTACAGCTACCTCGGGATCGTCAGCTTCGGCATCTATATCCCTCTTCTGCCTCCGCCATGGAACCATGTGGTCTATTCTGTATCCTCAACACACACACAGCCGATACTGTGTTGTTGTAGCTGACTGTTAAGTGTGTAGAAATGGGTCTTTCAGATTTGAATATGTATCAATCAATCAATCAATCAATCAATCAATCAATGTTTATTTATATAGCCCAATATCACAAATGTTACATTTGTCTCAGTGGACTTCACAGTTTGTACAGAATATCAGTATGACAATACGACACCCTCTGTCCTTAGACCCTCACATCGTACAAGGAAAAACTTCCAGAGAAAACCCACAGTTTAAAGGGAAAAATGGGAGAAACCTCAGGGAGAGCAACAGAGGAGGGATCCCTCTCCCAGGACGGACAGACGTGCAATAGATGCCGTGTGTAAATTGAAAAGATAATACATTTGCAACATAGGTAGTCCAAATGTTTGGAAATGCATGTGTGTATAATAGGAAGATGAATCCACGAGGATATCCATCCAGGACTTATGATCCAGGACCACAGCCACGACTCAAGATCCAGGACTCGCGATCCATGACACAGGACCGCAGGATCATCCATGACTCCGGATCCCGGCGTATATAGACACCAAAAAGAAAGAAATTTGGGGAAGCTGGGTTAATCGGAACATGAGAGTACACAGGTATAGACAGAGAGAAGGAAGAAGTAAGATGTCCCCCGACAAACTAAGCCTATATCAGCAAAACTAGGGGCTGAATCTAATCAGCCCTAACTATAAGCTTTATCAAATGTAGTCTCTGCTACAGTTTTGTTTGGGCCGCTGGACAAGACAAAGATGTTGTTGTGTGTGTATGGGCCTTAGTCACACCAGATGTCACTGTCTATAGTTCTGTAGTCTCTATAAAGCCCAAGAGACATCATTGGTGTTTTTGTCACATGTTGGATGCAGCGTGATGTCAACACTGGTTCACTTTACTCAGTCATAAGAACAGTCGATTTCTTCAGAACTGACTTCTCACACAAAAGGTTCACTTGTGTGCATCAGTTTGCAGTTTCTCTTACTGCCATCTAGTGTTCTCACACATATTGCAGGATTGTTCTAAAATGTTTGCTATTTTCCTTGACTCTTGTTGTGTACAGGTGATTGGCATATCTTTTGTTTTGCACTTTTTCACCCATATTGCAGCTGCCACTATAGACCCAGCAGATGCCAGTGTGAGGGCCAAACAGAGCTACTCAAATCCAATGCCCTTTTTTGACCGGATGAAGCAACCGCATGTCATCAAGGATCTACACTGTTATCTTTGTGATGTCAAGGTGTAAGTATTCTAATCAGTCCATTGATCGATTTAATCTAGTGAAACGAAAAACAATGGCCAACAGTTTTGACAATCCATCCACCAAATATGCTTCAAGTCAAATCTGCTTTTCTCTGTTTTTGTATTACACTGAATACCTTTGGTTTTCCTTTGATAAAACAAGACATTTAAAAAGATCGCCTTGAGAAACCGGGAATCGACACTTTTTACTTTTCTCTGTAATTTTATGAACCAAACAATTCATCCATCTAAAAAATTATTAGCAGATTAATCAATAATGAATATAATTAGTATCTTTAGAAATAAATGTTTTTGATTTTGCTTTTTTAAATTGACAGCTATATATTCTTGCAATCATTCAAAAGTTGTGTTTAATGATATTTACCATATTTACGTAGTGGCCCCAACGTTAAACACTGTGGTGTTTGCAACAAGTGTGTGGAAGACTTTGATCACCATTGCCAATGGCTGAACACGTGTGTGGGGGGCAGAAACTACTGGTAAGACAACATGGAGGGACTTTCTGTTTCTGACTTCTTAGCCGATGTCTAAATGAAACGTGACATGCTGTATAAACTAACAACAGGTTTTGTGTGTTGCCTTCAGGTGCTTCTTTGTGGCACTGTGCTCGGCTACGCTTGGCGTGTTGATGCTCGTTGCTGTCATCTTTTTCATATGTATTCAGCATTACTTGAGTCCAGACAGCCTCCGGACTGCCCCACAGTTTCACAGTGAGTCACCATAATATTGAACTTTGTTTTTAGAAACGATTTTGATCATATTGTTGTTAAAATCTGTTTCTGTGTAATTGTTCTTTGCTCCTTCTTTCTGTAGATCTGCTGGGGAACAGTACCTGGCTGGTGTTTTTACCCTTAGCTCCCATAAAGACTAGTTCAGCTGGTCTGCTTATCTTAGCCTTTGTGACAGCCATGCTGAGCATCACCTGCCTGCTTCTGCTCGCTCATCTGCTGGGCTTTCACTGTTACCTCTGTGAGTCCCAATCTTCAAGACAGACATTTTAATTAGGTTCATTTCCCTTCAATCAGCCAATCATTCTCACTCTTCTTTGCCTTTCAGTTTTTAAAGGCATAAGCACATATGATTATATAAAGATGCAGCGCCAAAAAGAAGGCAGGAAATCTGAATCAGGAAATCCAAAAGATGTGAAAATCCATAACAAGACCCTACAGGTGAGACGCGTCCTGCCTCACACTGGGTGACATTTAGTTAATCTCTGGTGTCTAAAAATACTTAGTTTTCCCTTTTTTTTTTAAAGAGTCAAGATACCTCCATTGACTGTGAGCCAGCATTATCACAGAGTTCAGGGTAAAACACATTCCTTACAGATCTTGTTGTTCTCTTATTTAAGCTAATTTGGAGGTGAGTTAATATCACTCTGGTTTTCCTGCAGTACCTGCAAATTGGAAAATAAAGGCTCACTCACAAGCCGATTTTCAGAGTCCATATGCACTGAGGTAAGGGTGTCTGCTTTGTATATCTGTTGAATTATTTGACATGCATCAAATGGGTTATAAAAATAACAACTTTTCATAAAGTAAAAAGGTGCTTTACAAAGACATAGAAAAATCTAAAGATAAAAGTATACTACATTGAAATCTGCTTGCTTTCTAGTTGGAAACCTTTAGGAAGTCGGCAGATAAAGAGAACCGTTTCCATTATGGCACAGAAAATCCCACAAAAAACGCAGCAAGTAAGAGTTTGACAATTATATCTACGGTACACTTTTTTTTGCATCAGCCTAATTTAAGATGCCAGAGATGCAAAAATATTACATGATTGGACTAAAGTGTAAATAAAGTATGTATACATATCAATTGCAGACAGTTTTAAGGACTTTTGTCAGCAGCATATGGATTACAAACGAATATTAGTCCATACAGTTTGTAAAATATTCTTGTCTCCTCTTGATTCCTGTGTCTAATAGTGGAATTGAGCAACGGTAAAAGCAGGATGCCCGACATTGAAGAGACTCAGAGCGGCGTTGTGACGTCTGCTCACAGAGTTCCAGGAGTGCAGGACCCTCTGGGCAGCGCCGTTATGACTCCAGATGGCACTTAGCAGTACCTGATGTCCGTATGGCGGTGCATCGGGATAAGCTGCTCTGAGGATTTATTATTCTATCAAGAAACATTTGCGACGCAATCAAACGCTGCATTGTGATATGGACTTCATGGAATGCTTTTGTCCTCCAGTGGATATTTTGTATGCAGTCTGAACTGTGAACCCGTCATTGTGTTTCTTTTCCTTTTTTTATCTGCACTTTTTTTATGACAACCTTTTCAATTATTTAAAGCATTGTTTTATCTCACTGACTTTGAAAAGAGAGCCAAAGTCCGGCCCCACTTCCAGGTCGGCCCCTATTCCACTACACTGAGTCAGATAAACGGACAGATTTTGGCATGTTTCTCAAACAGTTTACTGTTCATATTCCAAGCCAAATGGGATCAAGAAATGTACTGGCAGTAACTTTCAGCCTCTTATCATTGTATCTGATGTCCAAAGAGAAAGCCTTTTATGGCAAAATGAATAGTCTCACTAGAAGTAGTGGAGCTCACTGTGAATTGTATTTATTATTGAATGATTTCTCAAAGCTATTGGTGTTTAGAGACTGTTTTTGCTAGATTTGATAGTAAAGATATTAAATTAAATTAAACTGTTAATGTTTTGAAAGTCCCAGCTTCTACACGTTTTTACAGTTTCTAACACTGTATTCTGAGCTAAATACTGTACAGTACGTATCTGAATGGATTTGTCAGCAACATACAGTAGAACCACTGATTCATCAGCAAAAGTGGGTAAAACAAAGCATTGAAGATGGTCCTTTGATTGAGATCCAAATAGAGCCCTGTACGTTGATGTAAAAAATTATTTTCAGCGAGATGGAAAATACCTCACCAGAGAGATCGATGCTCAAGGCTACAATTTAGGGAAGAATTTCCACCTTAAATTAATTTTTTTCGCGAGTAAAATAAAGTGTATCACCAACTGATAATCAAATGGATGTGTCTAGAGGGGAACAGCAACATTTTTTAACTGGCTGTAGCCACAGAAATGGACCTGGAAGAAGTCAGATCTGAGCTTTTTCTGCTGAAATTCAACAATGAGGAAGGATATGTGTTTGTATTCTATTATCTAACATCTCTGCTTGAACTCTTTGTTGAAATACAGCTGTAGGCTGTTACATATTTTACCACTAGATGGCTATCAACAGCATTAATGTAAAAAGAGGAACAATAAATGATATTGTTTTAGTGTTAAAACAATGTGTTTTAATAAGTATATTGGTATGAGTTAACCAATTAAAAGGACCATTATTCTATGTTTTCATTCCACAACTAAAACAAGTTGTGTAAATAGGAATTATTTGAGGGGGATTTTTTTTTAAAGTGCATCTTTTAACCACACTGTGGCGCAGCTGAAGCAGCCTAAAATAGACTATACAGTATTATGTCATGCAATGATTTCACTCAGTCCAAGCTGTTTTCATCATGATCTGAGCCCTTCCTTTTGCTTATGGACATGCACGTTTGCCCCTGTGGTTACATTGGAGATCTTGACAACAATATAATTAAAACCATGAGTAAGACTAGAGGTTATATAAAGTCTGTATAACGATCTACTTGTTATGTAACACATTAGTTCACTGGACATCAGATGAGCAAGGTTCCGATGTATTGGCAGGATAAGCATCCATTTTCCAGCAGAACATTTCTCATGATTTAAAGTGTAGTCCCTCGAGTCATCATATGTGTATGTATGTATATGTATCATATGTGCACCAAGAGTTCAACCAGGACATTAAGACATCATTTCCCTGGACAAGAGCCAGGAACAGGGTGACCTCATATTTAAAACAAAACAAGTATTGCTACTGTATGTGACCATGGACTCTCATGTCCTCATACTATAGTTCATGATCACAGAAAGGGTTAATCCTGGTTGGTTATTAATGAAGCTGCAACGACCCTCCACATAAAACACTCGGTCATTTGTTTACATGTTCCATCACCGCCTCTTGAACCACATAAATATGCTCCAAAAGGCTTGTTTATCAGGGCTCCACTGACCGTTGTGGCACCATCACAGCTCCAGCATCGAGGCGAGAGGAAAACAGCCCGTCGCAGAGCGCGGCAGCCAATCAGCGGGCTGGTTTCTCTTCAGCATCTCGGAGGGGAGCGCACCGTTGGGCAGACCGGAGATCAGCGGCGGTAAGGAAACACACTTCAGGAATCCGCGACGCGCAATTATGCTTTTGTGAATTTGACGGAGGATTACATCAACACCAGGTGATAAAACACGGATTTGTCACTTCTTAAAGTTGCCTGTTTTGGCTCATTGCGGTCATGCATGTTTTCAAACTATAAAGAATTCGATGACTGCATGCCAGCCCACACAAATATATCTGACAAGGTGTTTGTTGTTTTGTTGTCATGTCTCTGCACGTTTGCTTCCTGTAGAGGTTTCTGAGTTTGCAACATAAGGGACATTTAAAGCTGTAAAGACGTTTTGGCATAATGCTACGCCTCGAGTTTCAGATTGAGAATTTAAAGATTTTAAACAAATATTTAGCTATATTGCCATGTTTGGTATTGACATACATGCATTATGGCTGGCAATAACACATTGATCACGTGGACTCTGTGGGGATCTGACATTATGTAACATGTTTCGCTCATACACCCTCGTTTCAACAGGAGCTGCAGCAATGTCCGCTAACATAAACACGAGCTCACTGTTTATCTTTAAAACGCGGGATCATTGACAGCCACAGTGAAGGCTTCTGCATTAAGAACCGTTATTGGTTAAAGGCAATGATTGACAATGCGTCTAGCCTGTGGCTACAACTTGCATGCCAATCTGCATGGGTTACATGTAGATAGTTACATAATTATGCATGGAAATGTAGGCCTTCATTAGCCTGCTGATTCCATGCAAATGAATGTCATAGAGGAGTGAATATGATCGTAAAGGCCATGCAAAGACCCCTACGAAATAAATATGTTCATTCCTTCTCAGTTATTTTGTTATGTATCTGCGTGCTCCCCATAGGTTGAATTAAGTATGCATGAGAAGAAGACACAGTCACTGACTTTGTCCCAGATTTCTCTGTTCTAGGTTTCATTGCATTGGTTTAAGAGCCTTTGGGTTCTGCTTCTGTCACAAACAATTGACCTCAGAGAGTAATTTACCCTATTTTGTTTGTGATGACTCAATCTCAGGTCAGGTTAGAAAATAAAGGGGGTTGCTTTGGGGCGAAATGAAGTGTTGTAGTCCGACAGCATTTTCTTTACGACACAAAACCGTGGGGCGATCTTTTGTTCATGTTGACCTTACATTGGGGAGTAGCTGCCATGGTGTTTTTCACTGCGTTATCTTTTAGCATTTGTGGCTGCTATAAAATAAATTGCAACAGAAACACAGATGGCACTAACATTGCATTGCAAAGACTTAAAAATGAGTTGAATTAAGAAATTATACAACCCAGTCTGGCTTCTCAAAATCTTAAACTAGACTCAGAGATAATTTGCTGCCTCTTGCTCTCTCTCCATGTGAGCCATGTCCTGGACACTTATCCTGTCTCAGGCATAATGTATTCCTCACAAATGTGGGGTTGCATAAGGACCCCCGGCTGTCTTTACACTGCCTTATAACTCTATTTGGCCTGCTGTTGCTGCCAACAATAACCACTGTAGCTTGTTGCTAACATCTTGTTTTTCTTCTGCTCAATGCTTGCCAAGATGTTTGACTCACAGAGCAGTTAAAGGGGTTTAGGGAGGCGAGGACTGACAAAGACAGCGTGGTGGTGACCTCAGAGTCAAGCTGCAGCAAGCTGATGTCATGCCTTCTCTCTTTGTGTCTTTGGGCAGGGTGGGAGTGAGGTTGGAGGACTGGCCAAACTGGGAAATGGTTAAGAGGTTATAAAATTAACACAAAAAGTAAGAAAATGTGTGTTTGGTAGATTATTTATTTGTTGTTGTCACTATGCTTCTTGGCAATACTTCTTATACCCTTGGAGCCTGTTTATTTACCTTTCAAATGGTGTCACATTTGTGAGGAACATGCATTTGTGGGATGAGCAGCAGAACTGAGTATGTGTGTTACGCCCATAAAAAAATGACAAACCATTTGAAAGATAAATAAACAGGCTTTCCAACGGTATAAGATTTATTGCCAAGAAGGATTGTTACAATAAATAAATAATCTACCAAACATAGACTTCCTTACTTTTTGTGTTAAGTGTATTTATTGGTGTCTGATGGGGCAATCTTGAAACAAGGTTGAGACCATGTTGAAGCACAGGGATTCATCAACAAATTCAAAGAAAAGACCAACACCAACAATGTGTTTGTCCCTTTTCAGTTCTCACTAATCCTTTCTGAATCATAAAAACACATTACTGAAGTGATATTTTTCTAAATATATGATGTAATGTTACAAAAAGTGATTATATCCTACAGCATCTTCTTAATAAACATTATTCAAACATGACCAAGTGATTGATTGAGAAAATAGTCAGCAGTCCTAATAAACTACACTGTGGCATTGGGTGGATTGGAACCTAAATGGTCATAGTAATTTATTTAAAAAAAAAATCCCACATGCATCGGTCAATGTTTCCTTGAGACCTATGTGAGGTCATCAAACACTGCCTACAAGCATAGAATGAAGTCATCAAATCTCGTTTGTCTAACCATCAGTTCAGATCACCAGAATATATATATTTTAATAATAATCCAATGTCACCAGCTTGAACCATCAAATGATTGCCATCTCTGCTTAACATATGATTTACAAGTACATTGATGATTTAAATAGTTAGCAATTACTTTCTGTTGATCGGCTTATCAATTGATTGACTCATTGTTGCAGTTCATTGGCTCAATGATTGAGTTTCAGGGCAATAATCATGGTTTACGACTGTCTAGTCACCAGAATAGGTAGCAAAAAGCTGGAAGACATGGTGTACTTTAGATGGAGCTCAGTTTTAAGCACACTGGGGGGGGTCCAGTGTAGTAATGATGGTCTCTGCTTTATTTTTTGATTGTCTGACACAGTCACATTCCTGAGCAGCTGCCTGGAAAGGACAGTGATCCAGATAAAAAAGCAGATGGGATATCTGAAAGCCTACTACGATGGCCTGACGAGGGAATACTCCTCAGTTACACACTCTGCCCTCACACACTCGTATATATTCACATCATTCTGGGAACAGTGTCATCATGTCGTAGGTGAAAAACCATCTGTCGGGCTAGCAGTTAAAACTCAAAATGTAATTTATTGGTGTTTAAGTCTGCATGTTGTCTACCAGCTGATCTCCCCCCTGGAGAATGAATAGAATGTTCTAGCCATGGCTGCGTATTGTTGCTATGAATAGATGCGGTTCGAAATGGGTCAATTTATGGTTAAAGCACTCATCTGTGCAGTGTATTGCCAGAAGGCGAGTGTATGTAAGCATGCTGTCATCCAGTCACAGATTTGTCTCTGGAGATCTGCTCTTAACCAAATGGCTTCTCATTTGTATCTGGCAAAGTGGGGCACACGAAGAAAAAATGTTTACAACGATGTTTTTTAATGTCTCATTCATTTTTGTATCAGTATAAGAATTTTGCCAAATTACCAAATTGGTGAAGTAGACCTTCACTGCACCAAATTATTCTCCAAACTGTCTATATACTTTATCATAATAGCGTTACAAAAGCTCTGTCAGAGCACTGAATTTCATTTCTTCTGCGTTTGAGGAGTACTTGAGGCCACTGAACTGTGTTAATGACCTCCCTCATGTATTGAACATGATGTGGTTTGAGGAGGCTTGTTGTACTAAGGACTTAGACACTTGGAACTACTGACTATAATTTGGAGGAGGAGAGTGAAAAGATTCCTTTGTTTCACATCGATTTTGCTGCTCTCATTGAAGCACAAAGGAAAACACACAGCAAGTGGCTACTCTATTTGAAGGATGTGCATCCCACATAAAAGTAAATGTAATATGATGAAACCTCAGTGTGGGCATCACATCTAAACACAAAGGAGATTTTACTCTGCTTGAGGTTTCCATGTTTGCAGGTTATAATTGGAATACAATGTTTTAGTACAGTATAATTCTGTTGAATATCAATTAGAAACCCTCCATAAACATATAATCATACTTGAACTACTTTTTTAAAAACAGAAAATACAATGATCTAAAGTGAATGTGATGTAATTAGCGCTAAGTAGATTAATTCAATTCAATATTTGTTTGTTTTATCCACAAAGGCAATTGGATTTGTGTGACCCAAGTGAAGCAGACATGAAGTCATTTCCACAAACAGAACTTAACATGCAGGAATCTGTTCAAGAAGATGTTCGGCTGATGGTGAAACTGTTTTAAAAAAGGATACATTATTTTATAAGTCCATTTTGACAAAAAAATGATTGCAGATTATAAGGATCAAAATAGTTTAGGTTGTTTATCATGCAGATATTCTCTGGTTAGCCTCTCAAAGTGTATAATTTGCTGCTTGTATGTTTTTATTACCTTCAATGAAATACCTTTTGGTATTGGACGTTGACATTTTATTGACTAAATTAGTAAATGATTAATACAAACTAAATCAACGATTACTTAGTATATACAGTAATTGTAGTTTCCGCCTTTGACATGATTTTGTTGGTTCCTTTATATAACAAACAAAACAATGGTGTCTCACATTGAGCCTGTATGGCACAGTTATAAAAGGTTACACTTTTTTATTTATTACTTTAAATATGTTTTAATTTATTTTCTAAGTGTAGTTCAAAGTATAATCATATGATTAAGTGGAACTTACTGATTTTATGTTTTCTTTATTAACAACTGATCAACTTGTAGTGGTATGTACAAATGGTTTGTGGTATGTAAACTTATAAAAATGATAACATCTTCAACAACCACTATCTGGATTGTCTTGGCCTGAGTCCTCGATGACATATGACTACAAAACCCTGCCATCAATAGGGGTGCTCTGCGATGTCCCCATGCGTGTGTGTGTATAGAAACGGGCCTGGGTCAGACAGAGGAGCCACTTTAGACAATGGGGTCCCAGTGTCTATTGCTCTGAATGCCATTATTCATAGACATTAATAATCTCTCCTTTTTTCTCCTAAGAATCGACATCTTGATTATAATGGCTTTATGCAGTGTCAAGCTTGGAACTTTTGTACCAAGTTAAGTGTTGACTGTACTCAGCAACGTCACATTTGTAATTGTTGGTCACAGAGTCGTGGACACACACCCCTTCGCTGTACATACTTGGGGTGAGTGAAAGCTCTTTATTGGAGACTTGAGGGACTGGCTTGAAACTTTGCTAGCTGGAGCAGACGGTTTGCTCCACGGGACACTATCTATCTACGGCTTGCATCTTGTATGAGCTGTAGCGAGTAAAACCACAGTTTTTTTTAAATATTTTGTTTGTGTGTACTTTGCTACACACAAGCATTAAGGATGCTGGGCTAAGTATGGGAACTGCTGAAAGGTGAGAAGAGCACCTTCACTTGCTACAAGTTTAGGACTACATTTTCTTAATGGAAATAGCAGAGGGACTTTTTTCTGTTTTGGATGACAGTAATTTGACTTTAATGAATAAGGACTTTTGTAAGCCCTTCAGATGCTTCTGCTCTGTCAGGATGACGATGTGCTGAGAGAGAAATCCCTGATGTCAGACTGAATGAAATCATCTTAATCAAGAGAGGGAAGCGAAGTTGTTAGCGTGCAAATATAATCCTTTTAAGATGTGTCCCAGCAAACAATTACTTACACACGGATGTTATCTTGAAGTAATTTGTTAATAATGATGAGGAGGAGGAGGACATTTTATCTTGTTCCTTTTGAGGCTGTAGTTATTATTAGAAGGTTTCCCTCAATGTAGTTGTGTTTGTGACTGGATTGGACATTCTTTCATACATAATCGTGTATTTATTGAACCAGGATTAAAGAGTGTCTAGGACAAGAGTGGGATATTGTACTTTGTGTTGTGTCGTGTCAAGTGCTTTAATGTATTTTTTCCTTAAATCCCTTCCACTCACGTACAGTATGTACAGACACATCCTCTCACCGTATTCACCTCCATTTTCATCTTTTCCACAGCACAAAGAGAAAACAAATGTCAGCTATTCCAAGCACTGCACAGAAGGAACCAAATTCCCACACAAGCATGGCAGACCAGAAGTAAGTGTGCAGAAGTCACGTTATGAGTCTTCACTTCACATTTTGTGTGTTGGTTACAAATATCCATCTGCTCTCTTGGTTCTTGATTTGTCCGCCCTTCTGAATTCCACAAGGATCTATTTATATCCTTCTCCTCTTTGCCAGAACACGCAAGACATCTGTGCATTCACAGAAACGCACCTCTTAAGATTCTAATCTTGCCTTGTTACACAGAAGTACCTAACAAAGAGGGGACAGCAAGTTGTGTCTTGACCTTAAGGAATGACACTTTCTGTGGAAGGGTTTGCCCGTTGCAAATCTTGCAGAAGAGGCTTGGATCAGATGTAACTCTGCCAAAAACTCCTCCTCTTCCTCCTCTTCTTCTTTTTCTAGTGTAAAAGATATATGTTCCTTTTTATGAAATGCTTAGCTTTTTATGTAACTAGGGAATTATAAAAAGCTGTTGCTTGATGTTCAGCCAATAGGACCTCTTGTAATCTGTATTCTGTCATTGGAAAGTGTTGCTGCATTTTCCATGACATCACCTCAACTGAAAACTGCGATGTTCACCTCTTACAAATGATGTTGTATTTCCCCCCCCTCAGAGACAACATAGATGACTTTAAAGTTCAGACAGCCAAGCACCCTAACTTGGGCTCGGCCCCTTTACGGCCACACAGTGAACAGTCTAAAGACCGGATGTCCAAAAGGCTTTCTACTGACTCTAATGGGACCAGTGACGGAGGGGTGGGCTCGTCCACACCGGTGGAGGTGACCGCTTTAGAGGAGTCGTTTCGCCGCTTTGCCATCCACGGTGATACTCGCGCTACAGGCAAGGACTTGCACGGCAAGAACTGGTCCAAGCTCTGCAAGGACTGTGGCGTGATCGACGGCAAAAACATCACCCTCACTGATGTGGACATCGTCTTCAGCAAAGTCAAGTAAGAAAGGCAAACTGTCAATTTGAGCTACAGTTCACTGTATAAAGGAACCTTTAATTGATCTGGCAACACCTGAGCCTGCAGGCAAGCCACGACATGATTCTTATTCTTAATAAGAGATGACTTCATGCTTACACACTCAGATTAGCATGCACAAAGGTCACTAAAGTGATGCAAGCATGGTTGCATTGTGGTTATTAAGAACATAAGAAGTCTTTGGACTGCACTGTAGGAATGCTTTTATTCTATTGTCTTTGTTTTGAGATACGTTCTTCTGTGGCATCGTCTTTGGCAAGCAGGCTTCGACCTTATTAATAACACCTAATTAAAGTGTCAACTGTTTTATTAGTGTATGCACCAACAAACATTAGGCCAACAATGTCTGTCAAATTAGCAAATGCAAGAGACTCCAACCGCACATATTTTGTAGTGACTGATTTCCGTTTTTGTTGGCCGTTTTGCCTTCTTTTCTTATATTATCTCGGCTTGGCTGTCCATTAGAAGCAGCCAGAGCAATAAACCTCATGCCTGGTTTATTCATCCTTTACTGCCAGATTTAATTGGAGTAGAGTCTAATAATATGCTTTAACCTTAATATTATTTAACCAAAAAGGAAAAATTTTGTTTGTTATAAGTGTAGTGTTGTGAATGTCATATTATTGCCCACATACCATAGGACACAGAATAAAGCTGATGTAAGAAAGAACATGGCTGTTACAATGCAGGTTTGTATTTTGTTTCCCGCAATGTTCATTCATACATAAAGCAGCTTTTATTTATTTTTCTGGTTCAATGTTATGAATAAAGATTATTCTGCTAGGCAGCACCAGAATAAAACATTATGGCTTGAAGACACACTCTGCAGGAAGGAGAATCTCACATTGAATCAGTGAACTTTCCATAATCTGCTGGTGTGTAACAATTATCCAATCTTAGTCACCTTATATAATGAGGTGATCCAAAATGGTTTAAATGTGATTTTTTAGAAAGTGTTTATCCCTGTTTTTATAACATAAGAATTGTAGTCCTAAAAATGTATTTCCATCAAACTAGGACTTACTGACTTCAACAGTTATGAATATAGAGTATGTGTGAAATTGCTATATTTGAGGGATTTCGGATTTGTTGTGTATCACATCGAAAGAAATACAGAAATAATTATAAAATAAGTGTTGTACTTTAAAATCAATTGGCACACCACCAGTTAGTTACAAAAAAACAGCCTAAATATTGTAAGCTTGTATCATAAATAGTCAAAAGCGCAGAAAACCGTCTGTCTCAAAGAGGAAGCCAGATTGTCACAACCCTATGTTCAAAGATTTTCTAAATAAGATTTGGCTGCAGAATAGAAAATGCAAACTAAACCATAAAAACAGGTTCTTGAAGTCTGCATGTTTTCATGATTTGTAGCAACCAATAATGGACATTCTCTGTTGAAAGATAATAATCAAACTCAATTATTTCAGCCATCCCTTTTTACAGTAAGCTTGAGAAGTGTTTATAAAGCATAAAAAGTATACTGGTTTTTCACATGGTGAGTCAGACACCAGTCAACACCTTTACTGTTGGCATGGCAATGGTTGTCAATGTTTACTATCGTTAACATTTCTTGGCAAGAATATCAAGTAAACTTAAAGATGACAGCATGATTTAAGCTTGTTTACATCCCACTCCTTTAGAGAGCAATATTTAGAAATATGCTTAAAAATATGGTCCAAGCACTTTAGGGGGAAAAAACATGTTTCCTGTCATACATGCTATCTGTGGTGAATCTGTGTAATGTTGTTTACACATTACAGCACACTATGTTAAGACATAGTCATTGGTTCTACTGAGGGTCCCAGATAGCTTGCTTTCTGAACCACAGCCGTGTCGAGGAGGATATTACGGTATACTTTCCGAGAAAGCGTGTGGTGAGCCAGAGGTACAGACTGGGGGAAGGGCTCGTGTTCATGTCTTTTCTGACTCCAAGCATGACTGGAGGGCTGCCATGCCACAGATGCAGATCTCCACTTTGCCTTTAATCAGTGTCAAAGCTCTTTGCTTGCACACGAAAAATTAAACATCCTAATTAGCACTGGCTGATCACAGTACGGCCGAATGAATCTGTATCTGTTGTGGGTGTGGAAGTCTGCTGCTCCACATTGAGTCTCTGCTGTGTTGTTACTCTGCTTTGAGCCAGAACACCACAGCTTTAACTATGGATGAGAAAATAATCTGGTCTTGCCTAATTAACTGCACACATGGTGTTATGGTGGCTTCTTTTTCTAGGCTGAACATGATCGTAGGCGGTGCAGGAGCGTATTAGCTGCATGACACAGATTCAGCCAACTACTGTGTCAGATCCATATGGATCATGTACTGCAGATGGTTGAACTATGTAAATAAACAGCAGGTCAGATACCACAGTAACCAGAAATAAAATAAAGCTCCACTCGCCCTATAACCTTTGTCGTTCCCTACCTTATCACAGCCGCCTCAGATTGTGATTTACTGTTTATTTACACAGTTTAATAATGTATGTGCTTGGGGGAAAGTAATAGCTCAGTGTGGGGAGATGTGCAGAGGACACACAGTTATCTTGCTCGGACAGAAGCGGCAGCTGGAAGTCCAGTTCCCCTCTGACAATAGACAGCATGGAACAGGCGCAGAATGGGGCTCTCAAATGTTCAACACTGATGGATCGCCCAAACAAAACCGCTCACTAGATGAGTCAAATTAATAATAAACCCAAACATCCCTGTTTACTGTAGCTTGTTGCTATGACAGCAGGTTGCCCAGCAGTTTTATGGACTGTTGTTTAGGTGATTTATTACCACGGCAATGGCTGTTTGTGTTTGTGTTACTATGCACTTTTTACATGGAAGTAAAACGGGCAAAGGGCCAGTTATACAACGGGAGCACTCCCCGAAGGAGAGTGATTTATGATGATGATCTGTGGTACAGTACTGTCAGTAGTTTACGACACTTTATTTTATTAATGAATACAGGGATTCAGCAGGTTGAAATGTCCAGAGCTGGAATGAAAAACATCAGGGTGCTGGATCCTGACTGCAGCTGAAGTGTAAAACTGGACAATATGATCCATGATATGAAGAGACAGTCACATATACAGCTGACAGGTGTGTGTGTGTGTGTAAATGTGTGCGGTTGCTCAGACAACAGTTGAGTACAGGGCGACAACAACAAACCAGTGAAAGTTTTCCCACTGTTTATCTCAGCAGGATACCATCTCCATTCTGTCTTACATCTGCCATGTTGAAGTGATCACACATGGCTCTGTGTACACTACTGTCTACTTTTAAGCTTTCAAACTTTACTGAGAGGCTGGAGAAAAGCTGATAAAAATATGACTTTTCTGTCCCTAAAGACTGTAGTTTTTACACGTGTTATCCCATACTTAAGCTCCTTTTTCGCCCTTATTACAGGAAGAAATCCTGTCGCACCATCACATACGACGAGTTCAGGGCTGCACTTGCTGAGCTGGCAAGAAAGAAATACAAAGAAAAGACTGGAGAGGAGGCCGATGCCGAGGTCTTCAAGCTGATTGAGGGAAAGACGCCCGTCATTGCAGGAGTCACGGTAAGACTTAAAGGTCCCCTATTATGCAAAAAATTAATTATGTACATTATAAATAAATATGTTTCTCCGGTGTGTCAGGAGACTCACAATGTGTCCGAAAATACGACCCTTTCTCTTTTAGTTTTGACTAATAACTCTAAAAGCGGGGGTACAACAGAGCTGAACCAGATTTGCTGCGGTCATGACGACATTACTAAAATGTGGGCTGGCTTTACACCCACGGCTCTATCAGAAACGTTGCTGTATCAGTAACAATGCGCAACGTGTTTTGGAAGTAATATGGTCTGTTTTTACATTAGCAAGCATTGCTAACACTCAGAGCTAACGCTGTACTGGAGAGAGTATGTGTAAAAAAAGCCAGATATAAGAAGGTACTCACCTTGTGGTAAGCCTGCAAGAGAAAAAGCATTTGAGCTCCATACTGTTTCAGGAATAATCCTTGATGTGGTTTGGAACATAATATGTCTTTTAATCACGGCAGCATTTAGCTGAGAATCTGGGTGGAAACCTTTCACTTCACAGAGCTCATGCATGCTCCAAAGGGGCGTGGCCAGCAGCAGCTCAGCCACATTTAAAGGTGGGGTAGGTAAGTTTCGGAAACCGGCTCGAGTGCACTAAAATTTGAAAGTACACAGCCAAAAAGAATCCGCCTCTTCCTTCAGACTTCCTTACAGAGCACCTCCTCCGCGAGAGCAGGCTGCAGTAACGTTACATATCAGGCAAAGCTAAACACATCTAGCTTAGCAATACTACACAGCCAAAGCAACTCCGATATTGACTCTGGTTTGACTTCTCCTAGTTTCCACTTTCTTTTTGTTCTTAATTTGCTCCGTTACATTTTTTCTTTTGCGACCAGTAGACGATGTTGACAACATCGTCTACTGGTCGCAAAAGAAAAAATGTAACGGAGCAAATTAAGAACAAAAAGAAAGTGGAAACTAGGAGAAGTCAAACCAGAGTCAATATCGNGTATCTTAAAAAGGTTACATCCAACAAAGAGGCAATGAGAGAATAATTGAATCGCGCAACACACAATAAATTAAACTAGCTTAGTTTTGGCTTCAAGTCCAACTTATATCGGTTACAGCACACTTTTTTTCACAATTGTTAGCCCAAAATGATCAATTACAGGGAGTCCATCTATTTTACAACACATCGCGACTTTCAATCTGCGAGTCTTGCTGTTATTTTTTTCCATTGAAGAACACCATCAGTAGGCCTGGTCTCGCCACTGCACGTAGGGTGGGTGGCGGCAGTGGTTTAAGCCAAGCATGATCGTTATTCATCTTTTTCTTGCAACCAAGAAAGGATATGCAGTAAATAACCTTTGCTCTATATCCATGCCCCTTCTGGATTATCCTCAAAATGCTAATATCGTCGCGTCTAGTGGTAAATTCAATATTTCAAGATGGCCAATATTTTCTGTACGAATCCCCTCCCAGAATGACTTCAGCTTCGGGCAGTCCCAAAAATGTGGTGTGATCGTCAGATCTGTTTACAGTCCCTCCAACACAAATTTGTTAACGGCTCCGTTATATTTTGCAAACCAATAAGAGGAGTCCTAAAATTATCTCATTTTTATTTTCCAATTAAATTATTTCCATGAAGCGGCTATTTGTTATTTTATGTCCCTTTCACACCCATCTCTCCAGCGGCGTCATCCATAATAACATTCATCTCCATGCTCCCATTTTTCCTTAATATCCAAAGTATTCCCTGACATGTGTCCTTGCAGACATTTGTATATTTGTGATACCAGTTTTGTGACACTCTTTTCTTTCATAATTGTCACCACATTCTTAATGATGCTCTTACATTTATTTGTTATGAATGTTTCTAATTTTAGATGTCTTTGTAGATTATTCCATGCTCAAAATGTATACTTGAAAATGCTGATCTGATATAAGATGTACTTTATTAATCTCAATTTGGGACATTTTTAAAATCTTTTTATATATATTTTTATATCTGCTCATAACTTTTAACCTCTTTTCAAAACGGTATTGTTTCCTCCCCAGGGGGTTCAACATTTGAAAGGGCTTGAGAGGCTGATCCTGTACTATAACCGCATTCCTTCCCTTGAAGAGGTGAACGTGGTGTACGAGCTGCCAGCTTTGAGAGAGCTGGACCTCAGACTCAACCCTCTGACTAAAAGTTACCCACAATACCGCCCTTTCCTGGTGCATGCCATGCCCAACCTACGCAAACTAGGTAAAATATAACCACCTTCCCCAGTTTGGGCTTATCCCCGGTCAGTTTTAAATGCAACTGAGTGTCCTTTCTTGCTTTCTAGACAGCTGTCCAATCAGAGACACAGAGCGCAAAGTTGCCATAATGCAGTTCTCCTCTGACCTTCTACCTCAGCAGAAGAGCTCCTCTTTAAATCAGGTTGCTGAGCAAAGGTAAACTGGCAGACAAATGCTTGGGTTTCACTTCAATTTTGACTGAATAGGTCTACCTATGATCTTGAGAAAATGGAAAACACTCAAAATGTATTTTGATGTACATTTTGTTAGAAAGGGAGTGACTCAAATGTTTGATTATGAAGAAAGGCAACACGTACATATCACTGTAGAGCTTTTAAAGACAAAAGTGATGGTGCAAAAACACTCACTTACAGTTGCATTTATCCAAACAAATATCTCACCTGTTATTCTCTCGAGTTGTATCATTCTGTCTTGCTTGTGTTTCACAGAAGCAGTGACCAGAGACTGGCTTTGGTTGACCGCTTAACCAGGAGGCTCTCTCTCCTGACGGCCACCGATGATATTGTGTTGAATTTTGTTGCGAGGAATCATGAAGGGCAAAGTGACACTCAGTCCCACTCGGTTCACAAAGAGGCAGAAGGTAAGAGGTCAAAGTCAACAAACACATTTTCAGTTTAAAACTAACCAAGTGGCATTTTTGTAACTTCTTTTCAAACTGTTTTCTGTCTCAGAATCAAACAACGAATCCAATGATTTCACAGAACTGAGGAGTTCTACTCCAAAACAGGTGATTTTTACTTCTGGTCAAACAATTATCAGTAGTATATTTACATTGTTATATATACTGCATGTGTTTTTGTTTTATTTTTAGGAATGGGCTAAATCCATCCTCAGGAATTCCCCTACAAATTATGGTAAGAGTCAGTTTGTGATATAGAGCTTTTCAAGCGCCTGTTTGTGGTTGTTTAGTAGCATGGAGATTTTAACAGTTGATAACATTTGAAGTATATTTTGCACCACTTTTTCTGTTGTTGCGATTTAATAATAAAACCAGGAGTTGTTCATCCAAAATCTATTTTTTTTAAAAATCGTAATTATAATCTGGTATTTTGATTCTAATTGGTCACCAGTTCTGGATGAACACGGGATAAAATACTTTTAAAGATAATTGTAAATTATTCTTAATATCTCTGTGTATATTCTCAGGTGTACTACCTGTGTTTCTCGTATTCTGCTGCTGCTATAACACCTGCATTTCCCTTCAGGGGTCAATAAAGATCCAGCTTATCTTATCTCATCATTGTCCTGTTTTTTCCACTAGGTGGAGACAAAAGCCAATTCTTGTTTTTATTATTATATTACTCTTGCTTTGAATCATGAACATGAGGGTAAATTAAGTTTGGTGTATTATTGTGTCATTTATAATTTGACCAGATAACACAGAGTCCAAAGTGCCCAACGTGAAAGAACCATCTCATAAAAGAAGCTCTTCCGCATTTAAAGTGACTGAAAGACCGAAGGTGTCCTTTGGCCCCTATGTAGAGAAACACAGACCTGTGTCTGGAAAGCAAAAGGACTTCGCCAAGCACACTAGGCAAGCAGCAAAGGGACATTATACCCCTAATCCTGGTAAGAATACTGTCTGTACTGAATACAATCCTTTGTCAGACATTAATACACATCCACAACCCACTTTCTTGACATGTAGTTAAATGTGTATTCACATTTCTTTCAGATCCAAGTCATCGTCATAGTTCCTCATTAGTTAATATCCGGCCTCCCAGTCCACGTGGTCCTGGTTTGAATTTGTCTGACCCCTCCAACCCCATCTTACATCCTCCAAGACTGACCTACTCTAGCTTCAATAAGACAGAAGGGGAATCCAGCCTGCAGCCACAAGGGGAGAAGAAAAAAAGGGTGGGAAATTAATTAAGTCCACTCTTTTACGTTTTTTTGTTGTTCTTCCTACTTGTACAAAATATATTTAAAGTTGTTTATTTGCTCTTATAAACAAATATCTTATCTCACATCCCAGGGTGGTTATAGGAAACCTCTGGAGATGCTCCTCAACCTCGTGGACAAACACTGGACTGGAGAGCGGTCGCTGCATCATAACAACAACTTCCTGTGTGAGTTTGGACTTTGTTTTGTGGAATGTGTTATCTGACTACAGGAGCCTAAAGATAATGAATGTCTTCTCATTATTCTATTTTTGGCTCTAGCTCAGGCAGTCCAGATCCTCTCCATGATGGAAAACGATATTTCCAGTCGGGAGGCAGAGGTCAAGACCTTAAGAAGGGAAGCTGATGCTCTGAGCTTTCAAGCGGCTGCACGTGAGGACGAGCACAAAACTGAAGTCCGTAACCTCTCCGATCAGCTGGAGGAAGCTCGCAGTGCAGTTGTGAGTGGATTCAACCCTAGAAGGCAATGTTGAGCTTTAGGAGGCCTTGATAGTTTTGATGAACTTACTGTCATTATTTCATTTTCTCAAACACAGGCCAAACTTAACGAGCAGCTGAGGATTGTCTTGGAGGAAAATGTCGGCCTACAGAAACAGCTCATCAAGTTGGAACGACAGTATCTGAAGTCCATGATGAAAAGTTCACCAATCTCTCAGATTAAAGGTGGGTGTGTGTACGCCAATTGGAGAAATGAAGGAGTGCTAATTAGGCTGCTTTCTTTAGAAAAACTCACACTTTGTCGTTAAAAATCCTCAGAGGCCCAGACTGAAGTGGAGGAGCTGAGGAAAGAAATCGAGGGGTTGAAGGAGAAAGTGCATGAGTCAGAGAAAGTCAAGGATTTGTCAAATATGTTGCATGAAAGCCACCGGTAAGAAGATGAAGACATCTTGGTGTTAATACTTGTTTTTAGGTTTTCACAATGAAAGATGTTCTCACTTTTCCACCAGCTCTACGTGGTTAGTTTATGATTTGTTTCTGTACTGCAGGTCTCTGGTGGCTACCAACAAGTGTTTGCTAGCTGAGCTGAAGGGAAGTGGAGAACTTTAAAGTGGAATGCACAGTGGGATAGACATTTCAAAGCAAGACTTTGCTGAGCGTCATATTAGCATTGCATTCACTGCACAAGCCCCTGCAGCTACAGACTATTTTTTTAAAGCTTTTTTAACTTCATGTCCTTTTTAATATGTGTGTATTAAGTTCCAAGCCCTTTTGAAGAAAAAAAAATGTGTTTATTATTTAAACAGAAATCTGTACAGGCTGTGTTTGCTTGATGTAAACAGTAATGGGCAAAGGCAATTCATCCAAGGAAGTTTGTGTATAAGTCTGTGACAGGGCTGTTATGTTAAATGGTTTTAAGGGGGAAAATGTTAGTGAGAAGGTCATAATGTATTTCCTGGATCAGTAGCAAGATTGTGTCCCTCTGCTTTTCCCCTTTCTCTTTTTTGTAGGTCACTTGTGTCTTCTTCTGCTTTGTACGCCGCAGTGGAATGAATGCATCTAGATTCCAGCTGCACTGTGACTTTATTTATATCTCTGCCTTCGGGCTGGAGAGCTACACACACACACAGATGCACTTTCCTCTCACAAGCACTAATGCGAGACCTGGCAAACCAGGTTAGCATGGGGATGCCACCACATAAACTGAATGTAGCTTGTTTTTATAAGTTAATATTACAGGTTAGTAACACTGAAACAGGGAGTTTCACGTACTCCTGAAAAAAAGCCATACAAATATAAAACAGTGTTTTGACTGACACCCTGAAACATGCTCAGCAGAGGTTCTGGGGTTGGTTTTTATTTTAAGTAATGCACTACAAATCATGAACACACATTAAGAGGTCTAAAGAACAAGAACACACTGCATGCACCAGAGCATTAAAAGTTATTTGCAAAATACAAAAGACATTAAAGGTGCACAGTATTTGGCATAAAGCACAGAAAACAGGTCAAGCTACTGCAGCAGACACAACTAACACGGTAGTAGCTGCTAGTTTTAATGCATGATTCTTCATTAGCTGAGGCTACAGGTAGTGTGTGACCAAAACACTGTCACTATGTTGGACAAATATTCTACAAAAGTATGTCACCTGTTTACTATTTTCCCTTTCATCTCATATATCACATAAGGATACAACAGCTGCTTTTCTTTTCAGTTGATTTTGTGCCTTGGATGACAGTACCCACATAATGGGTACTCCTAATCTTTACCAACAGACACATATATTAACGTTGGAGTGTAGCTGACTTTGTATGTACAAGTTGATACATATTGATTTCAAAGCAATACAATATTTTATCATAATCACACAATTTCACATCACTTAGTATTTTTTTGCAGTAAAATATTGAAGTCTGTCCAGTAGTCTGTCCTCACAGCAATAAGATATTACAAACTTCTGCTCATTTATATGCTTCTGAATCAAATGCAATATACATAAACATGCACAAAGTACAGCAATACAGAAAACAACAACATATGTAGTTGTGTCATAAATTAAGCCATGTGCCTAAAACTTTTAGAATACGCAATCTTACCACAAATATATTAGAACTAATGTATAGAAATCTAATGAGGAAGTAAAATGTTAAAAATACAATCTTGTACAACTGAGCTCATGTAATGTGGTAAGAGCTTCTTAAACTGAATTCAAAATGCATGTTGGCGAAAGAGGAAATATATTATCTTAGATTACTTTTGATTTTTTTATTGAAGTGTTATAATCAGGCATATTTAAAAAGGTTTACATGGAAGTAGTTTATATGTTTAACATATTCAAAAAAGTACGAGGATATGGCAAAAGTCCAAAATGTTCAGTCTAACAATTAACTACTTTTTATCTAAGCAAAAAAACTAGTTTTCAAAATTCTTAAGATATTTTCTTGGTTTGAGCTGAAGGCAAATAATACATATAACAGTGTGAGCTTCTAAAATAAAAAAAATGAACAGCAGGTTATTTTTAAGACTTAATAACAGTTGACAAGTGGGGATGGCAGACTGACAAATAACACATAGATGGAACAATTTAAGTTTTCAAAATAATTCAACATTGATAATATCTCTGTCAAAAGTGTGCCAATTCCCATTGAAACGATGCCCAACAAATACAAAATGCATTTCTTCAGCTAAATAGGGGAATAGAAAAATCTCCATTTAAAAAGTGCAATGTTGTTAATTGGTTCAACTGTTGTCCCACTTTTCTTTTGTTTTTCTTGGCTTGTTGTTCACTGTGCTCAATAAATATTATAAGGCCCTATCATGAAACAAATCTTTAATATTCATAGCGTAAGTTTCTCTCGTTTGTTCTCTTCAGTGTTTGGCAGTAACTTGCGATCAGACAGGAATGTACCAGCTGGTGATGACATTGTAAAAATAGATGTAAACAGTTTTCCAGTTCTCACACTTCTCAAAGAGAGGAACTCAAAAACGACTCTTCTACACGCACACAGACACACGCACACACAAAATAGATGGCTGGGGAAATCCTATATGATATGAAATCCTATTCTTTTGTGCTTTCCTTGAGTACTCTTTTAATAGAAAATTATCCTAGTAGTTGTCCAAATGTTTATTTCCTCACCCGCCCTCACATGGGTTTGCCCTAAGCGAGTTTATTCAATTTCTTTTCGTACGTTCCTCGATGTTTATACCCCGAGACGTATCCAGAAGTGTCAACCACGTCCACTCGTCCAGCCTTACCCTTCCCGCGGCCAGTGTCGTCAAAACGCTCCTTGTGTGACCCTGTGAACTTGGTTGGGTCCGTCAGACGGCTCACTGTCGGGGAAGCCACGGCCCTCTGTGAAGAAGTCAAGAAAACATTTAAGGTTATCCCAAGACTCCTGGTTTAAAAAGTTTAATATTGACCCATTTAAAGGTCTCCTATTATAACATTTTTAGGCATATATTATAGGTCTCAGATATATAAAAACATGTCTATGAAGTGTTTTGCTCAAAATACCAAACAGATCATGCATTCTAGCCATGCCTCATACCCCTCTATTTCAACCCTGTTAGTAAATTGCTGATTCTGGGTCTGTAGCTTTAAAGGTGGGGTAGGTAAGTTTCAGAAACCGGCTCGAGATACACTTTTTGTTATATTCCATGGAATGCTCTTAACATCCCGATAGCAATGAATATCTTAAGTGCTTTGACAAAAAATCTATTAAAAAATGTCATCTGTGGAACCCGTAATACTGTAAAAACTACAACCAATCCGATTGGATTGCCGCCCTATCTGTCAGCCTTCCATCTCGTGCACACACAAATGTATCGCGTGCCGTCATTGGGCGTGCTTTGCAGCAGTACTTCAATGACTCGCCAGCAACAGGCGGCCACTTTCACCATGGCAGAGTTAGGTTCAACATCGTCTACTGGTCGCAAAAGAAAAAATGTAACGGAGCAAATTAAGAACAAAAAGAAAGTGGAAACTAGGAGAACTAGGAGAAGTCAAACCAGAGTTGCTTTGGCTGTGTAGTATTGCTAACCTAGATGTGTTTAGCTTTGACTGATATGTAACGTTACTGCAGCCTGCTCTCGCGGAGGAGGTGCTCTTTAAGGAAGTCTGAAGGAAGGGGCGGATTCTTTTTGGCTGCGTACTTTAACATTTTAGTGCACTCGAGCCGGTTTCTGAAACTTACCTACCCCACCTTTAAATGCATCAATCTGGTGCACTTTGAGGGGGAAATAAAGAAACTACACCCATATGAAAAAGAACTGTATACATTTAAATAATCATAAAATCATAAGTACATGGCCATAACCAATAAAATACCATATCCAATATGAAAAAACATTGAAACTTGTTTAATTATTTGTTTTTGGTTCATTTATAGTGTGTCTGTGCTCCTGAATCAGCCTCTCCTGTCCCCTTCATCTCCCCCCTGCTCCTCTTTGAGGCAGCAGCAAAGACTAGTTTTAGCTCTCAACAACTTTATCTTACCTTTTTTCACCTAGTTAACATTTTATTTTTATTATTCATGCATATTTTACTAATCACCACCCCCTCAAAAGGAAATATGTGTTTACATAAATGGTGACCGAACCGTTTGAGACCCACTGAGACAACTTGGACTAAGTTAACTATCTAAACACTCAAGAGTCCTTTACCTCACTGTGCCTCTCAGTCTGACAGGAAAGCTCTCCTCCACCCTGGTTGTAGAAACAGCTTCTTATATCCGTTAGCGCAGCAGAAGCTAACAACATTCCCCGCCGGTACCGGTGCACCCCCTCCCTCTATCTATCTCTCTCTCTCACGCTGGCTGTGAGCTGCGGGCGCCTGATAAGCCAACATCCCCCACTTTCATCACTTACAGCGCCCATCGTACAGGGCAAATGGAAAATGTAACCAGGGTGAAAAGGGTGTTATCTTTACTTAATTATGAATGTTGTTACATCAAGGCTGAAAATTCGGATGAGCACCAACGGTCAAAACATTAATTTTTTCCTCCCAGAGCTGTCAGCGCAGCGCCTCCACAGATCTGGCGCCCTAGGCGAACATCTATAACGCCAGTGCGACGGGCCAGCCCTGGTCCCAGGTT